GTGTTTACTGTGGTATAAACTCCATGTACAAACATTATGTGAAATATAAGTTGTTTCTAGAATCTCCATTTCTCTGTGATAAATTAACATTTTCGTTTTTCCTTTTATTTTAGTGTTTTGATCATTACCTGGGAAATTTATTTCTTATATTATTGAGCATTTATTCCATTTATATAATGTGTTTTTCTTGAATTAATCTTTATTTTCTTCCCCATAATTCCTTCCTCATGCCCATACAGCAGCATTTCTTCTCTATTTTGTATGTTATTTTTTAAGTCCATGAAGCCCATTTAGTATTGATGTAACTATAGGGTCATCTACTGGAGCATGAGTAGTTTCTCAGAAGCTACATCTCTGAAGAAAATTGACTTTCTCCAATCAGCCATCAATTACCAATAGCTCCTCAGTTAGGGATGAGATGTGGCCATCTCCTCTCACCCATGTGGGGTTTTTATTTGGCTTTGTGCAGATGATATACATCAAGTCATGGTGCCTAGGCATTCACATATGCAAACTGCCTTGAATTTGCATGATCAAACCAAACATTAGGGAACACTGACTGCACTATTTTAGATAGAACAAGGAGATTACTACCTGAATAGTACAAAAACAAAGGCAGTGATTATGGAGAATGGGAAAGTTGTATAAAGGACACCACTGAACATCAGATGTAAGAAAGGACCCAAAGGCAGGGCGGGAAAGTGGAAGTAAGCAGAGACCAATGCACAATGGGAAACAGGATATAGTGAGGCCTTCCATTATTTTGTCATTGAATATGTATGTATGTATTTATGCACTCTGTTTAACTGAAAAAATTACACATTTATTTTCTACAACAAGATGTTTTGAAAGATCTGAATTATAAAATAGCTAAATGAAACTTAAATTACATCACCTCACACATACCATTTTTTGTAGTAAGGAAACTGAAAATGTCCTGTCTTAGCAATGTGTAAGTATAGAATACACACTATTAGCTACAGTCACTATGTCATAAAGGAATTCTGATTGCTTTGCTTCTGCTATTATAATCTAGCTCCTGATAGCAGAGCATGTATTTGTATACATGTACACATACATACACATGCATGTATATGTATGAAACCCAGCACTTGAGCCTCAGCAAGCACACAGCAGTGGCTCAGTGAAATGGTATTCTTGATGTGGCATTGAAAAGATGTCTAACACACAGTGAATCTAAAAATCATATAATAGTGAATACATGTCATATAATTATTCCACTCCTATGTCAGTGGTTTGATATCAGTAAATTGCTTCAAACTCCTTTCTAATGAAGTGCTATTAATGAGGACTCACATGTGTAAATACATTGCAGTCTGTTTTATAATTCTGGTTGAAGAAAATAGACTCCCCAAATCAGAAATTTGTTTTTCTCCATGGCTCTGGTCTTTCCTCCTTCTCTAAGTCCAGTGTTTCCTTTATCCTCTTAATGTCTTTGAGGCATATTAAGAATATCATAACTCTCAGAGCTGCAAGTTTGTTACCCTTGCAGCTATTCACAGCTTGCTTTGAAACATCCCAAGCTTGTCTTTAACCGACTTGGCTCTAAAACTCTTAACAAAGCAGCTGGCAGCTTCCTCATGTTGTAGGGCTGTTTCTTCCAAACCACAACATTCTCTCCTGGAAGTGGAAAGGAAGCTCTAAGATTCAGAAAGCTATAGGAACTGAAGAGGCCCAGGAAGCTAAGAAAGTTACAAGATTCATAAGGTAATTGTTGGTGAAGGGGATGCTCCCTTAGGCGGAGCTTCAAGCAGGACAGGATGTTGAATAAGATCTGGAGTCATCACTCATGCTGAAATGGGCTTTTCAGAGATGTTCCTGTAGGTAGTTCCGATAAACTTTCTAACTTACCAAGGTAGAATTTGATGAAATCTTTATTCTCTGAACTGTCCTTAGTGCCTTAACTGGACTAACCAAATGTTTTCTTCACATTTTCCTGGAGTGGGGGAGCTCAATAGCTCATGAGCACAGGAAGTATTTTGTGTTTAGCAAACAAGTATTTCAATTCTATGACAATTTTCTTCCGTTCCTGGAGAAATGCAAAGCTTTGATTAAAATGACATTTCAGTGTCATCAGTGGGAGATCTTAAGCTTTTGTTAAAGATAGATTGAACACTCAAATTTTCCAGATTCTTAGCATATGAAAGACAAGAAGTCAACCAATAGTGCTATGCTAATTTCTGGAATAGAGAATACATAGTATGATATGCCCTCACTAATAGAACTAGGAAAGAAGATGCATGAAGTAGACCCAGCTGAGCTTTGCCTGGCATTGCGCTATCTCAAAATGTGTGCATTTGTGTCACACCTGGTTTCTGCTCTATTTCCATCTACTTAGGCATGAACAGCATGGGCCCTTGTAGATATTCAAACCTAAACATCATTTATCCTTAAGTTTAAAATAACTGCAAGTGGCTAAAGAGGATGTGTTTTCACAAGATCCCTTTCCACCACAAGTCAATGTAGCAGGAGTAAGGAGTAGCAGAGATTCCATGGGCTCAATGCCTCCTAGGAGCCCACTGAGTTCTTCTCTCCTCATTCATTCATTTGATCCCCGACTGATGAGTTAGGAGCTGCTATAATGTTCATTTTAGAATTGACAAAAATGGCAAGACCAAGAGAATACATATACAGTGGGTGTTATGTACATCGTGTATGAGTCTTTAAGACAACTGCTATAAGTAATTTGCATAGGCCTTGGCTTACTTTGCTCAACATTTGCACCTAAGTGAGTAAAGCCACTTCTAACCCAGGAGCTGAAACTGGACTCTGTAAATTTATTTAGATTGGTGACACATATACAAAGGCAGACATTCTAAGACAATGTATGCTCTTCCCAAAAGTCTAAGCTACTTTGGCCAAGGTGAAGGATGATCTTTTTTTTACTAAGCATGATCTCAGTTAGCCATGGTAGGATTAGGCTGAAGGGAGGAACAGTCCAGGAAGAGCTTTGTCTATGTGTACATGGACACTTATTCTCTAATGAAAAGGATTAACAATGGTTACTAACTTATTTATTTGGCTGAGTTAATTAGCTAGTCATAAGAATGTGGTATTAACTACCCAAGCTTAACAAGGGTAGTGCATTACATGATAAGCCTCATGTGAACTAAAGACTGACATGATATTACAAGTGTTGCGAATTACATTGCTAAAAGCAAGTACTAAATGTGACATCAAAATGAAAATTTGAGACTTAAAAGCAAACCATTCATGCTAGTGAGCCATGTCAACAACTTGGCTCACTTCCTGAAATTTCATGGGTTTGATCTTTATAGACTCGTGTATGTGAGGTAGGTATAACCTGAAACTTCTCATCTATGTACCTCAATACTTTCTATCTAACCCTTTTTTCTTTAGAGATGAAACACGGGGCTTTGAGCATACTAAGCAATATGTAAAGGTCTCCTCAAGGGATTTTGATCAGAAATACCAAACTTTTTATTCGATCTGATGGAAGTATTTAAAATTTTAAAGAATGTCTATGTGATCACTGAGGTACAGGTAAAAACAAGTTGTAAAGCAAGTGATCCTATCCATCATATATTTATGTAGTACCCTAAACTTTTCTATTAGGGAAAGAATAATGTCTCCAAAAAAGGTCTAACTTCATGGTAATGGAGATGGGGCAGTCTAAAGTCAAAGAAGTAAGAATATAATTACAACTTTATACTGAGGCTGTAATGGAAACTGTCCTTGAATAATGCATTTAAAAAAATACATGATGGGTGAGAACATCCCAGGGAAAATGTTTTAAGAAATAAAGGAGAAAGCTAACAAATTCAAATCCAAAGAACTTATAAAAAGATTCCATGGTTGAATGAACAAAATCTATGTGAGATCTGAAAGCCAGCCCACAAGAATGAATAGTCAGGAAGGTGGAACTCAGAGAGTTGGGGAATAGTAATAAATTCACCTGCAAAAGTAGTCAGGCACAGCCCACATAGAATCATATAGACTCCTAATGGACTTGAGCAAGAAGATAGGGGTTGTAGACTACCACAGACCAATCCTTTGTCAAGGACCTAAGGGTTGCACTAATGCAAAAGGCCAGAGTCCCCAGTTGCCCAGTCTAATTTAGCCTTTAGAACACATGCATGAGTCAGATATATCTGATTTCTAAGGAGCTCTAGGTCATAGGAGGACACATCATAACCATACACATAATTTGTGGCTCTATCCTTACAGACTGCATTAAATCACATGTCCTTTCAACTTCATCTATTTACCAAGACACTGGCTCTACACATTGGATAGGAAATGATTTTTTTTTTAATGTGGTTGAATACCCCAAAAAGATCAAAGCTATGGTGATGAGGGTATGGTTACCATCCAAACTATAAATAACATAATAGCAGAATGAGGTATTATCATCCAATTAGCAATTTACCAAAGTAAACAGAATCAAAAGTCATAACTAGATGCTGGTGCCTTGACTTTTATATTTTATAAAACACAAGTAAGACAAAATGCCTTATTTTGAAAACTGGATCACTACTCTGTAGGTTTGGTGAAGGTGCATTGTGTCACAAAAATGATACAAATGAAGCATTTATTAATGGAAGTCATTTTCAAATAATACCTTAGAATTTATGCATAGAAAATCATATAATAAGTATTTGTTTGGGGATTTAAAATAATATGCAACTTTTACTCAAGATTACAGATTACTGTGATATACTACAACTTTTGTTTTCATTTCTATAATTCTCTCTAAAAGTAATTTAAATCTGATAAAGGGTCTACCCTGAACATCAGACTATAAGATCTCTTTTTATGCATAAGGAATTTTCCCAACATTAACTAATGTAGGCTCAAGCTCTGAAACAGATATATAGCCAAGCTGTCTTCCTTTTTTAGCAGGAGGTCATTGGGATTGCTGTTTTTCTCTTAGCCATAGTCATTTTTGACACCGCTTTAAGTATTCATGCACCCTCTGCGGTCATTTGTAATAGTGCCTTGTGTGTTGTGTCTCCTAGCTCTACATACAAACTACCACACTTACAATCTCCATGAACCTAAGTGCGTCAGTGGCGCTGGGAATGCTATACATGCCGAAAGTGTACATCATCATTTTCCACCCTGAACTCAATGTCCAGAAAAGGAAGCGAAGCTTCAAGGCCGTAGTCACAGCAGCCACGATGTCATCAAGGCTGTCACACAAACCCAGTGACAGGCCCAACGGTGAGGCAAAAACAGAACTCTGTGAAAACGTAGACCCAAACAGTAAGTAACTCTCTTCATATTTCCACCCTACATGAGACTATTCTGGAAAATGTGATGTGTGATGCTGCTCTATGGAGGAAGTTTACCTTGTGGATGGTTTGTCCTGATAAATGGTAACTTTCACTCTTGTGGATTGGATTAATTTCTGCTACCAATTTCTTGGCAGGAAGATTTTCAGAGTTCTGACAATACTCCTCATTCTCTTGTCTTTTTGTCCTTTGCTCCAGAAACACCCAGTGGGAATAAACATGTCTGTCAGGGTTCTTTCAACAGGCCTTTCCCACTAGGGGAGTGACTTCCTCTTAGGAGTTTTCTGCTGGGAAAACAACTTCCTGTTAGAGAAGTAGCTATATCTGGTAAACTGTAGCCATAAAGTAAAATTAAAAACTTGAAGAATTTTAGAAGTATGCCTTCCTTCCACAGGGATGTAAATGTGAAGAAATTATTTCAAATATGTCTTTTAGAAACACAATCATGAAATATTAGATAACGCTATTAAATTTTCATTTAAGTATACAGGGTCATAGATGGCCATGCTAAAGGCAGCATACACTTGGGGAAAGTAACTCCTAAGACACTGAAGAAGGAAGTCATGCTGTGGAGGACAAAAACTGAGAGCTGTGATTCAGAAGTGTTAGCCTCAATACACTGTATCTTATATCCCACTGCTAGGTGGTCAGTGTTTCTGTGAAGGACCTAAAATAAGATGGATGTAGGATATCACATAACACTACATTGACTCAGATGTTAGCTGCATAAAAGTTCTAAATTATCATTTTTTTAACAGTGTGGTAGTAAGTATAGATTTCAGAGTAAAAGCCCTAGGAATAGGATTTGCATTCCAGGAATATTTTGACCAATTCAGAAACTGGCATTCAGGGTAGTAATTTCTGTTTTTAAAATAAGAGAATTCAGACTTTCTATCAAGTCATTCAACGTACATTGGTTTTAAATTATGAGCAACTCTTACCATACCTATATTTAGAACCAAACACACAGGAATTCAATAGGCCAGAGAGCTTAGTTTTAATGAATACTGTACAAAGACCCATGATCTTGTCCCATGTTCATTTATGAATGGATGTACAAATATCAGGAAACACTTTCAAAATAAGCATGGCCTTCACTCAGAATTTCAATTCTGAAGAGATTATGCGATAGATAACACTGGAGGAGGCAGAGGATTGTCCCCAAAAGAAAGGAGAAACAGAATGAGGACATAAGCTCTGCCATGACTCCAGAGCAACTGGCTAAGGAGACCTGGGAAGAGCATGCCTTCTGAGTGATGTAGGAAGCACAACTGAGTTCAAATCCAAGCCTCTTCAATTATCATCATGTGACTGAGAGCTATAGAGTTTTTCTAAGCTCAGTATCTTTTTGTCCACTGAGGAAGTAATATTACCTATGTAATAAATGTGTTATAAAATACTTATCTAACAAATTTCTTCTGCATGCCAATGGATCAAATTCCAGAAGAAGCAAAGCATTTTTAAAAGTCCATTTGCGAGTACTCACATAGATATGATATAGTACAGTTAAAAATAGTCTAAATGACACGAGGTAGGGTAGATAAAACTGAACACCCAAAAGTAATTCATATGTAGGCTTATAGTCATAATTATATTCATTTTCTGTAGCTATTTACAATAGACTTGTACCAAATTTCCATTTCATGGATACTTTATATATTATTCTAATAACAATTTTTAATCATATATGTATATCCATATTTACCCAAGCACACAAACTTAACAAGATTTTTTCCCCATGTCAGTGAGCAGGAAAGTTGAAAGTCTCTTTTCTATATTTGTATTGTAAAAATGAACAAATATGAACTTATAAATCCTGACAACTAATCCTATAATACTTAAGAATTAATAACATTTGACTGTAGCTTATTTTTTGTTTGTATCAATACCTGTTGTATGTTTGAGTAGTTTCTGAAATGTAAACACTAACATTAATACTATCACTGCATAAGGCATGTTTAAATATATATATATCACATGGAAACTTTATATGAAAGAGCTCGTATTTATTCACAGCAATTCAATGGAGAGTATGCTCTTGAAGCCTCAATTCAGGGAGGTGCTGTAACATAGCCAGTCATGCACATACTTAGCATCTAAGGTTTAATCGACCCAGGTTTTACTCCTAAACCCATGCTTATTCCTCTTTACTACTGTGTATCCTAAAACATAACTAGCAGAACAAATCCCTAATGAATACATTACTCTTTTGGCTCTTTTACTTGGTAATATAGCTCATATAACAACAACAACAATAATAATTTGACTGATGAGTGTGGCAGTAGTGGTACTAGTGATAGTGCTGCTGGTGGTGGTGAAGGTGTTTCGACACGTTGTACTGTGAAATGAGTGGTTGCTTATTGTATTGTCTACAGACAGTTATACATACATTTAGAGGAGGCCGCCCAGGTAGAGGCCTTATCATACTAACTCCATAATTCAAATAGTGTTGTGTCAATTGAAATCATATCAATAATATCACTGTCTCACTGAGAAATCATTGGACAGCCATCCTTAATTTTTTTTGACTGTGTAGTTGTTCTGGTATTTATAGTCATAACAAAGACTCCAGGAAAGAAAGAAAGATAGGAAGCAAGGAAGGGAGGAAGGAAGGAAGGAAGGAAGGAAGGAAGGAAGGAAGGAAGGAAGGAAAAAGTGAATAGTACAATCACATACAGTGTTTTCCACTCAACCAGTCTGAAATATGTTTGAAATCCTGCTAGCTCTTCTGGCATTATGTATCCAATACCCTAAAACAACACAAAGGATAACTAGAAATTGGCTGAACCACATGGAAAGATTCATGTATCTCCAAACACTGGGGTTTCTGATGGCCCAGCTCTTGCAGAGCATTGAAAGACCACATTGCTCCAAAGCCATCCAACAGCACTGCAACAGTGTGTTCTGAATACATGTTGTCTAATACAGCCAGCATAAACCCCAGTGTCTCTCAAGCACCCGAAAGTACAGCTTTTCAAATGACAGGATGTACCTTGTTTTTATCTGACTTTGTTTTAAATACATAACCAGCCATTGCTTTAAGTATTGCACTGTTGTTCACAGGTCTGGAAATGTGTGTGTATTAAAGGGAAAAGTTTAATCTTGGGATGTCCAGTCTGAGTCCATAGTGGAGACTGGCTCTGTCATATTAGCATTAGTGATTATCTGAAAGAAATATAGCTTAAAGGAATGAAATAATTTGAGATGAAACAAACATCATTTGAAATGTTCCCCAACCAAGCTTCTAATGTGGAAAATGAAATATCAAATTCAATTGTATTGGAATCTGTTACCTGAAAGTCAAAAATATGTCTAATTTGTATTAAGACTAGTGAAAATTTGTCAGTGAAAATAGACAAGAATGTTCTGGTGCTATGAGATGTCATAATATCATATTATACTGAAAACCAAGAATGGCTCAAACCATCTCCAAAAATCTAAATTTTGGCAATGGAAACACCGGAAATATTTGCTTAATTTAAGATATCTGGTAAAAATTATAAATAATATATGCATTTGAAAATATGCATCTTTCCAATGGGAAATTCTTTCTGAAGGTGGTGGAAGATACGTAAGAAGACAGGCCAGTTCATAGTATGAACTTCAAAGTAATTAACGGACCAGAAATGCTCTCCAACTCATCTTTTCTCTGAATACTTAGTGTGAATGTATCTCAGTCCTTGGTGTTTTCATCTTGAACAGCTCCACTCCATCACTGCAGCTTGCCATCTGGCGCATGACCGCTTCCACTCATCCACCTCCACACTGCACACGTCTACATGAAAATGAGCTTGCTTCTTGGACTATAATGTGCAGATATTAAAACTGCCCTCTGCACTGCATTACTCTTCAAGGATTGAAATTTTCCTCTCAAGTTGCTCCTTCAGTTAAAATTCTGATTGCTTTAAAAAAAAAATCTTTCTGTTGGGTTAAAGAGACAAACTTGTCAAAGTGTTAATGTTAGCTGTGTATTGTGCATATATTCCATGTTCAAGCTCCAGCCAATGTTTGCCAGGTTCTACGGTCAGACTGAAAACTAGCAAGCCCAAAGGGCATTAGGATAAAACTCCAAGATTTTTAGTTATTTAAAAAAAAATTCTGCTATAGAGGTTCAGAAAAGCTAAACCTCATTTGGATACTTATGTCCAAGATGCTGCTCTTCAGACTTTTCCAAATTCTGGTCTTCTCGCTTACCTCCTGAATCTGGCCTCTCTCCCTGTACTGCTGAATGTCAACTTGCATGTACATGTTCATGGCAAACTAACATACCAAATGAATAGGAGGATGTGGTCATGCTTGGGCTGTGGCTTATGACTATTTTTATGGTCCTTTTAAAGCCAGATGTATATTATTCAGTGGACAGCATGACTTAATTGTGTTGGGTGAATATGATCTGGTAACTTCCTTGTCTGGAATAGTTCCACTCATCAGATTCTATGTGAATTACCCTCTTATCTCAAGCTTCCCTTGGGCAAAGATTGCATTGCACAATGATGAGAGGCTATAAACTACCCTGGTTCTAAGATACCATCCATTTTTTAAGTTTATGTACCCCAGGCCAAGAAATAACTCATCAAAATACTTGGTTGAATGCAGAATATAATTTGGAAGGTCAACAGAAGCTAGTAATAATAGGTAGGTTAGTAGCTAAGAACACACCCCACTTATTGGATAAGGGAATATATAACTGATAAAGAGAGGAGCTAGATTTGTGCTCTACAACAGATAGGATTATGCCCATGAATGTAGAATGTGGGGAAGACCATATTAGAATAACAACAATATGTATATCAGATATAAACTATAAAATAAGATAATTTTAATATAAATGCATTCTGATGTTGCTTTTCTTTTTTATTACCATTTGGCATTGACTCTAAAGAAAACAAGTAAATTCTGATCTCAAAGAAAGAAATCAAATAAAATAGAAGTATCAATACAAGGAAATATTTGATTAATAAAAAATTCTAGGTTGCTGGAAAATGGATGTTGACAACAAATTGTACATGAGTACTAATGCCTAGAAAGCTCCGGAACACATTTCCATGCTATGCTGATTTGTTAATGTTTCTTGTTTTGTTTTGCTTCTTCATCTGTTTGGATCTCTAACATTCTCAACATGGCGCTATTCGTATTCATCCTTCTGGACTAACCAGCTGGTCAGCAAGAATGAACTAGGCTGAGGTAAAAGGGATGACAACAGGTAGGAGAGAGTCAGATAGATCAGTTATTTGGGGGCTGGTTCCCTCAGCTGCACCAATTCAAGGGAGTACAACCTAGCTTCCATTAGTTCTCTATTGGCACCAGCACTCCCATGTTCCTGAATTGTAGTGAACTGGTCTACCCAAATCTATTGTATCCACTGAAATAGTGTGCATAATGTCTGTGGGTCTCTACTATAACCTCTTCTTCACCACCAACAAAAATTAACTGATTATAATAAAAAAGAATATTGTCTGAACATTTATTTTATATATTCCTATATATTTATATTTACTTTCCCTGTAGACTGTATACCACCAGTAAGAAAGAGTGTACAAAAGTCCGTAACTTGGTACACTATCCCACCAACAGTATAGCTTTTGACTGCTTTCCAAAAGGTAAGAAAAAAAAATCTCCTTTTCTTTATTTGTGTGTTATTGTCTACATTATGAATAGAAATGTTTTCATGAATACCATGCATGACAATATTAAATTCTATCTGAATGAATAAATTAGTTTTGAAATATGTCTATTTGATGAGCTTAGTGGCAACTCCAGTTACACGTCCAGTGTATTTACTGAAGAACATGGTTATGGGTGTGGCAACTAGCCAATCACTTTAGAAAATGTGTGCTGTTTATTTTGATACAGACTCTAAGTTAAAATAATTGGTGGTAAAAATTATTTTTAAATGTGTGATTTTTACATTCTGACAGAATAGACCACTGATATGGAAAAAAGGAAATGTTTTATCAGTCAAGTACAAAATCTACTTCAGTAATATTACTTTGTACATCAAAATGAATGTACACTTTCCCAGGAATATATCTAATCAAAAATGTGAGTGGCTGGCCCTAACATTGTCTTGGTTTTTTCTTATCATTTTGTCCACTTTTTTTTTCTTTCTTTAACAACTAGCTACTGGAAAGTTTTATGGCTGGAATTGATGATTTTTCAATCATGTTTCTTTCTCTAAGAAATCAAACTAACTGCAGTGCTTTCTGAAAATAGGGAAAGGTCAAAGAACAATGACAAAGTCAAAGAAATTTCAAAACTATACAGATTGATTACAAAGTTATATCATGGTAATATATGACCTGATCAACTGATCATATGAATGAACTATCTTGAGGGAATCAATTGACTTACTTACTGCTCATGCTCATATATTACTTTATTATCCCATTATATGCTGGAAAAGACTATTCTTAAATAGTGTATTTCTGGAGGTCAATATAAGCAATAAGGAATCACAGGGGAAACAAGTATGGCTTTCAAAATCTTTGTCTAGATGGACTTAGGAACTTCCAGTGGATGACAAGGAGAATAGTGTGAAAAGGCTATAGGGATGCCTCAGCAGATAAGATGGTGTAATGTTCTTGTAGAAGACTTGAGTTCAAATCCCAGTACCCCCTTGGAAGGCTCACCTATTGTGTCTGATATCCTCTTCCAGTCTCTATGGATATCAGCAATTGCATGCCCATGAATGAACACACACACACACACACACACACACACACACACACACACATACAATAAAATAAAAATTTAAATAGGTTGTAAATCTGAATGAAGGACTCCCTTCTGATTGTCTCTAAACATAGCTTCATTTTAAAACCAGTTAGAGGGCCTTTTTCTAGAGATCTATTAAAGTGAGGTCTTGTCATGGAAACTAGGATTATGTTTAGCAATGTGGACTAGACTTTCTCTTTGTGTGTCCCTGACATGGGACTTCTATGAAATCACTGTCCAGAAACCTACAATATGTTCTTTTGGAATGATATTCTGCATACAAATAATATCTTGATTTTTTTTTTTGAAAAAATTCACTTAGTACTCAAGTACAGGACACAATTACTTTCAAAGAGTAATTACATTTCCTGTTGATTTTAGAAGGATGTAACATCTCAGTCTTTAATTTCAGATGTATTGTTTCCAAAGTTATTTCCTTTTCCCTGTATCATCATAGTGTGTCCTAGATTTTAAATAGGGCACTCTTCCCTACAGTGAATATGTAACCATATCCCAGTGAGATTTCAAGTCTCTGCAATACCAGTACTTGTCAAAACACTGCAGCTCATCATTTAACAGTTCTTTTACAGAAGACGTCCTGAAAGTAAATGAGAAAGAATTATCACCAGGTTTAAAAAAAAAAGATAGACTAAATATCCATCTATTAAAAATTCTCTTTAGTTCCATTCTCAGTTGGTGCCTTTTGGTTTAAAGTAAGTAATAGAGAACTATGTGAAGTTGACCTTTCAGTTAAAAGTATTGCTAGAGATCTGCATGTTGGCTCAGCAGGCAAGGGAGCTTACTGCCAAGCCTGACAACCTGAGTTAAACCCTGGGATCTATATGGTGGAAGAACAGACTCCCTGGAGTTGTTCTTTGACCTAAACACACACACACACACACACACACACACACACACACACACACACACACACAATAATACAAATTTAAAAAATAAAGGCTGCTAGGAAGTGGTGCTTACAAACAACACCAACCTTTTCTCTGGAATTATTTTACTTCAGAGATTTTGTCAGTGAGATTCAGAGAGAATGAACAGAGAACCCATATCACACCATATCACAGGATAAGGAATATGAACTGGTTTTTCTTTTTCCAGTGCCACATCATGGCATATTCATTCACTCATTATTGTTTTTTCTACCAGTTTTAAAACTTTTGATAGCCTTATGAACGCAAGTAATATTTGCACTTGAGTTACTCCCTGATCAGTTTAAGGGTAACTTCTCAAAGGAAGGATTCATTTTATATTTGGTTTTAAAACAATTGGGAATAGAAGATGGTCCAAGTTAAGTGATTTCAAAGAGTAGACATCAGCTGTTCACCTTAACAATAAGAACTACCTACAGGTGGAGGCCAACTAAAGAAATGGATCAGGGTCCTGTGTTTGAATTTATTTTTGTGTGACAGTATTCAGAGAGATGAAGTGGTAAAGAGAAAACTACAGGTGTAGGAGTGAATTTTATACTATTTTGCTATTAAAACTTCATTTCAGCCACTGTGCCCCAACAAAGACACACCATATATAGCAAGCCTGGCATTTACATGGAAGAGATTAAAGGAAACAAATTTAAAGTTAGACAAAAAAAAAGTGTAACATGGCTAGAAAAATCTGTTTTATGTAAGGTTAAAAAGTACCCTCTCTGACAGATGCCTAAGCCTGATATCAGTAAAAGCATCACTGTTTCATCTTTTCTTTTATGTGTTTATAAATTTTATAACTGTACAAATAGCTATCAGTTTTGCAACACTTATTTTAACATCTAATTAAGGAAGAGTACAGCGAGAGGGCCTCCCTCATTAAATAAAGAGAAGAACAGTAGAGGAACACATTTGACTTCAATCTCTGGCTTCAAAATATAGGTGTGCACACATGCATTCTAACCTTTATACCTGAGCACATACACAAATGCAAACACATGCATGCCAGGCATACACACAGATACCCCAAATAAACAAATCTTAATAATCATTTCATTCTTGTCATTAATGTGATGGGATTATTTAGCACTGGCAGCTTTTTAGAACTTTGTCAAAAAGGCTTTACATCCTAGTGAGATTCTTCCTCTTTAGCATTCAGTGCAGTGCCCCTGTTTAAACAAGAGACCACTTCAATTTTAAATCCACTTTGAAACACTCTCTAAATATAGTACAGCAAAGAATATAAGGCTACCCCACCTTTGACACAGAATCACCTCAGAAATAAATGCAGCAATAAATCTCATCAGGACTGATCTCTCAGCACATGCTCAGAAACCAATTAATACCTGCCACCCAGCTCTGCAGCTCACATTCCACTTAAAGAATGGGATGAAAGAACACACAGCCAGTAGTTTTACTAGCACAGTAGAGTTATACACATCATGCCCTTAAGTCGTGGAAACTGCATCACAGGGTACATTTAATCACTGCCTGGCTCGGTCTCATCAAGATTTATGAAACATGGGACTGCTGTTAAGGGGGAACCATCAAATGAATGTCTTAGAAGCTTTGCCCCCATGCCAGCCCTGAGGTGACATGAATGGAAGAGAGAAGTGGACAAGTCTCTCAAGGAGCTCAAAACGATGGAGGATACGAAATGAAGGTAAGCAATTTCAATTCTAGATAATGGGAGCTTTTAGTAGAAATACATCAGTTGTCCAGCCGTGTAAGGAGGGTACCATGCTCCATCCCGTATGCAAAGTGGTCCAGGCAGTCATACAGGGAAAGGCACTTAAAATAGGGAAGACTATGCACAAAGAAATTGATGCATAAAAATAATGCATCATGTTTAGGAATGAGAAATGGTTCTGCAAAGATGCTGTATCATAGGGCATGACACCAGGAAATGTCTGACTATGTGGGCCTGAAGTTTCCTTTATCTCCATGCTTTTGATACAGTGACATGGTGAGTTCCAGGCTCTCAGTCTTATCTAGAACCTGATAGGTATACAGTTGACAGTGAATGGGAATTATGAATAAGAGAACAGTCTGTAATTCAGCAGGTGGCATTGTGTCCTTCAAGACAGGGCCCTCAAGGTCATAGAGGCTAAAGAAGTGACTTTTATGTTTATGTCAGATTTCAAAATTGTGGTTTCATGTGAAAATCCTAAAATTTGATGTCAGTACAACACCTGCATTTAATCTCTCTTTTGATGCTCTTAGCCAACATGCAAAATCAAAAAAGTTTATGTCTATTTCATTCCTCTGTGGACTGCCAATTTCTACAACATTTATCACTCCAATCATACATGAACTTCATAATTTCTGTTGGAAAAGGGTTGGGGATGGAGAGATGGCCCAGTGGTTAACAGAAATTACTGCATTGGCAGAAGCCCCAGGTTCAGTTCCCAGAAACCCACGTGTCTGCTCACAAACATCTGAACATTCAGTTCTAGAGCATCTAATACCCTTTTCTAGCTACTAAGAGCTTTTGCATATACATGCTACCAATAGACTCAATCAAGCTCACATACATAAACCTTGAATAGTTCCAGAATCTATTTTGATAGATAGCTTGTTGCTTTCTGATAATTTGAGTGTTTTTTTTCTCAGATCCAGCCATTTAGGACAAATTTTGTCTTTTAGAGCCAAATGTTACTTTTAATTTAAAAAGAAATTGCCTGTCCTTAACCCATGTTAGTTCATCACTGAAATTTTCCCCCACCTAACTGCTGTGAGGGAGATTCATCTCAATGTTCAACTGATGACTCTGTTCTGGGTTCTAACTATTATTAAGTTGTACCTCAACTTTGCAGATTCTCTCTCTCTCTTTCTCCTCCCTCTCCCTCTCCCTTCATCAAAGCTTGAACACATTTTAAATTGACTTCCTCTTGGAATGAAAGGTAATCATCATTTCCTTTATGATCTACATGAACATTCTCATAATT